CCTTACTCTCAGAATGCTGATGCCTGGGGTCTGCCTATTCAGTTCTGCCTCATTGGCCTGTACTTACCTTCCTCCCAGACTTTCTATGACCCACTCAGGCCTTACATAGCCAGAAAATCTTCAGTGGTTTGTTTTTCCCATGAGCAGCTGCCTAGCAACTGCTGGGGTTTCCTAGGCCATGGTCACCTTAGGATCTGTGTGTAGTACTGGCTTCTGGGGACCAGGTTTCCTTCCCAGACCTAGCAGCACTGTTTGGGACATTACCCGAGAATATCTCAGTAGTACTGTGTGTGTGTGTGTGTGTGTGTGTGCGTGCACGCGCGTGTATACATATGCGTGTGTGCATGGAGTCAGAGGTCAATGTCAAATGTCTTCCTCATTTGTTCTATGCCGGGTCCAAAGGAAACTGGATGTCCTCCAATTCTGGGGGTTAGACAAAAGACAACATTTCTCAGGAATTTGTGAAACTAGTTCCCCTTTACCAAAAGGGCTATTTCCCTATTGCTGGCAGAGGGGTAAATGGCTGTCTGTGATATCAACTAGCCTACCAAAACACATACTGGCCTCCAGGATCCCTCAGTATCACAGAGAAGTACCTGTTACACATTTCAGAGTTCATGCTGGCATCCTAGCTCTTCTCACTCCCTACCTTAAACTTCCCTTGCCCACAGGCTCCCCAACCCCAGCTACTCATTCTCTTTATAACATTATTTTAGCTATGCCCTCCCTCTCTTTGTCTTCATCTCTCACCCTTCCCCTCTCACTCTCTATCACTCTGCTCTCTTCCTGCTTCTCTCATGGCCAGGTCCAGTCTGCTGACCATGTTCAGTCTGTTCTGGACTCTTCCAGATGCCACTGGCTGTTTTCCTGCACATGTCCACAATAAAAACCTTCCCCTTAACCATACCATGAAGCAGTCATAACATCAGTTTATACATCCTGCATCTTATTTTTTGAAATAAGCTCTCACTGAGCCTGGAGCTTGCAGATTGGACTAGGCTGGCTGGCTGGGTCAGTGAACTGCAGGATTGACCCTGTTTTCACCTTCTCAGTATTGAGATTATAGATGCTCATTGCTGTCTGTGGCTTGTTTGTGTTAACATGGGTGTAGGGGGTCAAACTCAGGCCTTGTGCTTGTGTGGCTAGCACTTACCAACTGAGCCGTCTGTTTTCCTCTCGCTGGCTCTTGTACTTTGTGAGCACATACAAGCAGACACTCTTGCTCTTGCTCTTGACTGTGCCTCCAGCTCCTTGCACAGTGGTTGGTTTACATACAGTCACATCATTGAGTTTTGTGGCATGAAGGAATCTCAACCAAGTGTGGAAGTCACAGTTATGTACATAGCAGCACCTTGAACATGAACCAAAAAGTGCAGGGAGACAGATAGCTTTTCCAGAAGCCTGAGGATGTCTGCACTGTGGAGCAGAGTCCTGAGACTGAAAGCCAGTGTCTTAGACTGGACACCACCAAGGCCTTTTGGAGCCTCCTCCAATAGATTGAGGTGAGCTCTACAGATTTAGGGCTCACAGAATGCTTTGAAATGAATTTAAATTCATTGACACTATTGGAAGATTTTACACAGCAGATTTCAGCATGCCTTTAAAACTCTAGAAACTCTGATACCACTAGACCTATGCTTCTTAATGAGAGCCCCTGGCTGCACTGAAGCAGAAACAGTGTCAGTACTATGAGCCTAGGCCATCCCAGGCATTTCCTTGACGTTAGTATGAAAGCTACAGTGACCAACACTTTGTCTCACCTGGAAGCCTATGCTGTGTTGCCTTCCTGAAGAGCAGAGTGGGAGCTGATGGCCAAGCCCTGATGGTACACACCACCTCACCATGGCATCCTGGCTCTGTATGTGGCATAGGCTGGCCATCTCATCTTCTGTGAGAGATGAGACCATGATGCTGAGCGTCCTCAGGGTCAGGGACACTGAAATGTTGTCACACACAATGCTAAGGACCAGTGTTTTCCCCCTCTGCTTCTTCTCACTTTGCCCCTGACCTGTGATTTTGTCATTATCTGTAGTGGTATGAATAGAAATGGTCACCACAGGCTCATAGGGAGTGGCACTGTTTGGAAGGATTAGGAGGTATAACTTTGTTGGAATAGATATGGCCTTGTTGAAGGAAGTATGTCTTTGGGGGTGGCTTTTGAGGTTTCAAATGTTCAAACCAGGCCAAATGTCTCTCTTTTTAAGTCCCAGTTAAATGCTTTCCTTTATAAGAGTTGCTGTGGTCATGGTGTGTCTTCATAGCAACAGAACAATGACTAAGACACCATCCTGAACCCATAGAGGCAGAGGTAGCTCTGTGCTTCTGGGAAAGAGTGACTTATTTAACTTGCTAGCCCCATGAGCCCCAGGTTGGATTAGAAGTGGCTTTAATACACCAGTCTTGTCTTGTGCCTCCTAAGATGGCACACCTCTGTGACCCTTTTGTCCACTTAAGCTGGCTTCTTTGGCTCATGGACCACTGGTGTGAAAATGGGCTGAAGAGGGGGCCTGGACTCAGTGTCATCCGATAACCAGTGCTCTGCATGTCTCCAGCCCACTGTCATAGGATTTTTCATTCATCCCTATGTTTCCAGTGCCCCAGCAGGGATGGTGCACGGTAGGACACTTCCTGTAACTATTGACACTGTCCTCACTGCCTTAGTCACTGACTGCTATGATGTCCATGTTATTACTCCTTCACTTGATGTATGTAGGTGCCTGTCTGTCAGAGTCAGATACTATGTAGTGACATTTTTTTTTCTTCTGTGTAACTGATTTTGGTGGTTTGAATTCTTTTCTTAGAATAAATTCAAGGCATTCAAATTCTTGAATGGGAGGAGTGACAGACATGGAATTTCTGAGGTTGCATCTGTCCCTATTGTCAGGGAATTAGAGAATGTCAGTTTTGCTAAAACTATGGTGATCTTTGGATTGTTTAGGTTTGGGGTTTGGGGTTTCTTGTATGTTTTGTTGTTTTTGAGACAGGGTTTCCCTGTGTAGCCCTGGTTGTTCTGGAATTCATACTGTAGATGAGGATGACCTCAAACTCAGAGATCTGCCTGCCTCTGCCTCCCAAATGCTAGGATTAAAGGCATGCTGGATTGTAGCTTTAAAATTTTTGTAAATTGGTACATAAATGTTTTAATTTGTGTGTTTTAAGACAGGGTCAAATGTAGTGACTTCAAACTCACTTTGTATCTGAGGATGACCTTGAACTCTGGATCTTCCTGTCTCTACCTGGGATTATAGACATGAGCCACCACACCTAGAAACTTTGTAAGCATTTAGTGACTGTGCTTCCTCTTGTGTGTTCTCCTGAGTGGTTTATGTATTAGTGAGAATCGAGCTTTTATTTAGAGCTGCATGAATCTAAAATGTGGTTAGGATTAACAGTGTCCCTGCCCTAGTCATTGCACATGTTTTCCTTGTATGTTTTTCATGGGTAACCTTAAGCATGTGGCCATGTGTGTGGCTTTCTTTTCTTTGGAGAGTGGGAATGTGGATCCACATGGCCCTTACACATCTAACAATGGGAGACCATCCCAGAAAGCTGGGTCACAGGCAGCAGATGTTACTAGGAGAGGGGATCCATCCCAGTGCCCCTCTTTACCCCATTCTCACCGAGCTGCCACTCACTGCCACCTGACCTTGTGAGCCCTTGCTACTACCTTGGCTTAGACAGGATATCAGCCAAAGTTTGTGAGTCTCCTCTGCACTGAAGCAGGCTTTATGGGCTCCACTGCACGTGGATCACTGCCCTTGTGCATGTGTGAATGAGGATGGTGGCCAGAGCCAGCTGTTCTATCTTTCTGACTCAGAGAATCTAAAAATATCCTAGGCTGGGTGTTTGGAGGGAATCTATCATCAACCTGTGAATGTTAAGCTCTCAAGAGTCAGCATGTGTGGGTTTGAACTGCATTTCCCCGAGAAGATGCAATCATCTCAGCAGTACAGATGACAGCCCTGCCCCCTGCCTCCTAGGTATCTTGTCTGATAGGCCTGAGGCCATGGCTGTCTCAGGCTCTTGCCCTTGGGCTGCTGCCCCTCAGAACTGGTAGGAAGGGTTTCCAGAATAGCAAATACATCCTGAGCCAGTGCAAGAAACAGGGTTCTCATGCTCTCTCAGCTCCATGAGTATGTCCCCAGTGAGGTGTGCTCGTTCATGTACCAGATGTGCAGTGAGAGTCTGCACTGACTCACACATGAGTCTAGATGACAAGCTAGTGTCAGGTCAGCAGGGACCATAATTGATGGTGAATTGCTGTAGAGTAAAGCCTCTCAGAAGATGGATATGTGAGCCTGGCCTTGAGGGTGAACAGGATTGTGCAGTATGAATAGGGAGGGAGAGAGAAAGAGAGAGGGAAAGAATAGGAGAAGGGAGAGGAGGAGGAATAACTCCAGGCATCATGATCAGAGCACAGGAGGTGTCTTCTCATTGATATCCAGGCAGCTGCAGCACAGGAAGAATGGAAGAACATGGTAGAATGACCAAGAGATTGAGAAGAAGTGAGAGGCCTGGGCAGGCTCTGGGTCTGCAGGGAAGACTGAAGAGAAAGGGGCTGTGAAGGTGAAGGGGCTGCTGCTTAGCAGGGTACCACTTCCGCAGCTACTTAGGACAGTGAGCCAGCAGGAGCATTGTTCCTGCTCGATGTTTGCTGCCAGTGAAAATGGGTGTCATTATGCTCTGGAGATGACTCTGATTTGGTTGGCTGGAGCATGGGGAGATGTTGTGTGGTGCTTAGCTAGGAGGGATCCTGACACTGGGGTCCCTGAGCTCCTTTGGTTAGCAAGTACCTAGGGCCTGCTACCACATGGCCACAAAGTGGTCATAGGAAACAGACAATGGCTGGTTGCATCCCAGATTCTATAAGTACAAAGAGGATCATCAGTGCAGGAGAAAAATGTGACTCATGCTTTCCTAGGGTTGATTTGTGATTAGTGACTTTCCTTGGGGAATTGACCTTCTCATAGTGACAGTGTTTATGTGTGTTTCCATTCCAGATGCCATAGGGCCTCTGAGCTGCTAAAGACTCAGCCTTGGTGGCTGGAGACTCCCAATACACTTGTACAACCTTGTAGCTTCAGGAAACTGCTCCTCAGGCTGTACCCATTCTGTTGGGCAGCCCAGCCACCATGGAGGCCCCAGAAGTTCCTGTGGGCTCACTGATTGACTTTGGGACTGAACCACCTACCTCCCCTCCCATGGAGGCAGCACCTTCAACACTCCAGGACCCAGATGGCTCCCTGGGTGATGGTGCATCTGAGAGTGAGACCACCGAGTCTGCAGACAGTGAGAATGACATGGGCGAGTCACCTTCACACCCATCCTGGGACCAAGACCGCCGCTCCTCCTCCAATGAGTCCTTCTCTTCCAATCAGAGTGCTGATTCAGCCCCAGATGAGGAGACCCTGGCACTTCGAGAGTTCATGCGCAGCTATGTAGAAAAGATCTTCTCTGGAGGGTAGGCCTCTGAGGGATGGAGGGTAGGCCTCTGAGGGATGGAGGGTAGGCCTCTGAGGGATGGAGGGTAGGCCTCTGAGGGATGGAGGGTAGGCCTCTGAGGGATGGAGGGTAGGCCTCTGAGGGATGGAGGGTAGGCTTCTGAGGGATGGAGGGTAGGTCTCTGAGGATGGAGGGTAAACCCTTTGTGGGATAGGTGTTAAACTTTTGGAATTCAGGGTTGGACTTGTGCCTTTAATCCCCAGCATTTGGGACACAGAGGCAGGTGGATCTCTGTGAGTTTGAAGCCAGCCTGGTCTACAGAGTAAATTCCAGGATAGCTGGAACTATTATACTGAGAAACCCTGTCTTGAGGGGGGAGGTCAGTGTATATGCTACAACATGTGTGTGGAGGTCAGACAACAACTTTCAGGAGTTAGTTCTCACATTCCACCTTGATAAGGCAGAGTCTTTCCTGTTATGCTGCTGCCTGGCTCATTATAGACTAGCTGGCCCATCAGATCCAGCTTTTTATATGGGTTCCAGTAATCAAACTCAAGTCATTGTGCTTGCACAGTTGTGCCTTTATCCACTGAGCCATCTCCTGGCCCTCTATTATGGTTATTGAAAGAGTAGGGGTGCCACGAGTAGAGGCCCAGGAAGTAGGTGCCTAGGGTTAGAATGTGGCCTGAGCAGAGGGATCTCTGGGTGGGCCCCTAAACTCTGCCTATCCATGTCACTGTTAAGTAGTACCTCAGCTAGGACAGGGAGGTAGATGCCAGCCCAGAATCCAGAGGTCCCAGGTATAGTCAGCTACAGCAGCTTGTCAGAACTTGGGTTTTTTATGGACCAGCCACATCAGCATCTCCTGAGTTGGTGGAAACTCAGAGCTTCCAGCATTGTAGCTCCCCTGGGTTTGCACATGGAATCTATCAAACTTATCTTGTGGGGACAATCTGCCCACATCTATAGTCTTGGGGAGCCTGGTTTATAGTGTGATAGTCCACTTTTCATTTAAAACAATACTAATATTTACCTGTTGGCCTATGGCTGGGGCTCATCTGGCAATATGCTTGCCCAATGTGCATGAAACCCTGATTTAATCCCAAGCAATGCATAAACCAAGCATGGAAGCATATACTTGTGGTTCCATCACTTGGTAGATGGAGGCAGGAGGATGAAAAGGTTATGGTCACCCTTGGCTACATAGCAAGTTTGAGACAAGCCTAGTATAGAGACTCTTATCTAAATTATATGTAATATATTTTGTGTATTTATAATAGTTTAGACATGTTTTATATTATAATTCATATATTAATATAATAGAGTAATTTATATGTAGTATATTAACATTTATACATGATATTTTTATATGATTGATAATATTATTATTGTCTGTGACAAATCCATAAGTAAAAATTACATAAGCTGGCCAATCTCCAGCCTTTATCTTCATTTTCTTCTCTAAATTTGAGGAAAATGCTTGGCTATTCATTCACAGGGAGGACTTGGACCAGGAAGAGAAAGCCAAGTTTGGAGAATACTGCAGTGGTGAAGATGGGAAAGGCCGTGAGTGGTTCGCACGGTTTGTGAGTGCACAGGTGAGTGCAGGGTGGGTGAAAAAGGACCAACAACCTGGTTTAGTGCCAATAGATGAAGAGAGTGGAGGACATAAGCCAGTAGAATGCGGACAGCTGGGGCAGGGTATAAAGGCCTACTCCAATTGGAAGCTCTTCTTTGGAAGGAGTAAGGACTATGGCAAGCTTAGAAAGTCTCCCAAAATTTCTTTTTCAGAGGCATGTGGGCTCTGTCCATGCATAGTCTTATTCAGTAACCCATAGTATTCAAATTTTACAAAAGATAACATTTTCAAGGTTGTGAAAGGCAACCAATGTTTTGAGAAAGCTTTGGAAGAATCACATTTTGCATATTCCCATTGTAGGGATGTATTCTTCACAGAGAAATTAGAAAGTGCAGGAAAAAGTAACCAACAAACCCAGGGATAGCCAGTTGTCATTTGGAGTTTTGTCACTCCATACTTCTCCCCATGGAGAAACTTTACAAAGTTCTGGGAGAACAATGCAGGAGAGCACCTCCTGGACTCCAGTGCAGAGGGCACTGGGAAATGCCTGTCCTGCCCAGAGCCCTGGCAGAAGGGAAGAAGCCTTTGTGGCCCATCCAAGAAGCGTGGAGGTATGCAGAGTGACAAGCCTCCAGCCTTGCTGAACCACCAAGTCATGCCGATTTGCCTGATTCTTTCTACACAGCGCTGCAAGTCCAAGTGTGTATCAGAGCCAACCTTCTACCGCCTGGTGCAGTCCTTCGCGGTGGTGTTATTTGAGTAAGTGACATCCTCCCCAAAGCCTCCTGCAGCTGTCTTTCCTGCCTTTCCCACCCATAATGAGCCAGCTGTGAGTGATGGCCATACCAGCTGTCTCCTACTCTTGGTTAGAATTCGTGACCAGCATCTTCTGGGAGCAGATTAGTGGGCTCCCTCCTGTTCTTATGGGAGATGGGGTTGTTCTGTTTGCCCTTCTCATTCAGAAGGCAGTGTCTGTAACTGGACTAGTATAATTTCCTCTTTTTAAACCTTCTTTCTCTCTGCTTGCTAAGTTAAATGGCTGTGTGACTATCTCATTAATATTTGGTTGGAATCTTTAGCATACTGCAGTACAGTCAGAATGATCCTTTGCATTTATAGAATGCCACTCAGTATGTCGCTTTCTTGTTTGCAATAGTTTGTTTTGATTTTCAACATAAAAGGCATAAAAGGCATAAGTATTTATCTACTGTGGTCCACAAGTGCTACCCCTGGACCAGGAGGATAGGGACTGCAGATCAAGTTCCAGGACTGCCAGGGCTACACAGAGAAACCCTATCTCAAAGAGGGAGAGAGAGAGAGAGAGAGAGAGAGAGAGAGAGAGAGAGAGAGAGAGAGAGAGAGAACAACAAATAAACAAGCAAAAACAAACTTGGAGTGGGAGTCAGGTAATGGGACTGAAGCCAGCCCACCTTGCTCCCATCCCAGGTGCCACCAGATGGATGACTTCGGGCCTGCCAAGAACCTCATGACCATGTGCTTCACCTACTACCACCTGGGTGAGTAAGCCTGAGCAGAGCAGCCACCCTGGAATGGAGTTGAGTGCTGGTAACACAACATGAAGGGATGCTTCCTTTATTGCCAGCAGGTGTTACTGGGCTTCCAAAGACAAGGAACTCATGTTGGGGCAGGACAAGCAGACACAAGACTCCTGAGGTGGAAGGAGATGTGGACTGCACTTGGGGTCAGGTCTAGCTGTCTCTGCAGGGAAGGATATGACAGGAGGCAGGAGGGTCTGTTTACTGCTCCAGCAAAGCAGGATGCAGAGCTGGCCATCTAGGGGAGCAGCCTAGGATTAGTATCCTGGGAAGAGTTCAGGGTGGCTGGAGATGATCAAAGATATAGAGCTAGGAAGTCTCTTTTGGCTCATTGTGTTGAAATGTCTAGTGTTGAGTTGCTGCAAGGTGCCTTGTGCTGAGCCCTGCAGCCTGCCAGCAGGGCCTGGTCCAACTCAAGGAAAGTGCGGAGAGCCTCCCTATGGAGACCCGGGCATGGGTAATGGAGTAGTCCCTCACACTCTCCTTGGTATTGTTCCACTTTCACGTTCAGCCCCTTCCCTATGCATGTGCTCTGGGTCTTTTGTTCCTCAAAGCCCCAACTGGCCTGACTGCTATAAATCATCAGCCTGGCCCTTCACACCAGGCTGTGTACTTGTTGGCTAACATCAAGTCAAATGGAAAGGTTCATTCTACTCACCTAGCCAGAGTCTGTGCAAAGATGCACAGTAGGCCCAACCTTGTTGAGGTTATTTCCACTTACTGCCCTAAGGAAGGATACTGTGTTACCTCACTCATCTCTCCCCATCTCTTCTATCCCATATTGACCTGAGGAAGGCCCATTCTAGATGCCTTTGAGAAAGACTGAGTCTCTGTCCTGTACCCACGCCAGGCTTCCTTTTCTCCCTGTTGCCACAACCTCAGCCCGGCTATGTGTCTCTCAGTGTAGTCTTCTTTCCAGATGCCAGCTGCTTCAGGCTGCTTCATAGTTTCTACCCACTTCTCTGTGCAGTCTATGCTTTTTGACCACCCCAGGGAGGCCTGGCCTTCCTTGTCTGGGGCGCTTGCTAAGCCAGCTGCTTCTGACCAGCCTGTTGAAGGAACTGAGAATGTTGCCTTCTATCCTGCAGTCCCTGGGAACCACTTTCAGGCACTCTCCTTCTCCTGTCCATGCTGCAAACTACTTCTTACTCCTTTTCTCCCCTCTTTCAAGGAAAACCACACCTGCTCCCTGCAGAGCCCAGGGAGAAGCCAGCTGGCAGCATCGACTCCTACCTGAAGTCAGCTAACAGCTGGCTGGCAGAGAAGAAGGATATTGCTGAGCGGCTGCTGAAGAACACAGAGAATATGAAGGGCTTCTTTGGGGGACTGGAGACCAAGCTGAAAGGACCACTGGCCAGGAAAAATGAGTGAGTATGGGTGCAGGCCTGATCTTGTGTGGAAATAAACTTTGGGAGAAGCAGGTGGCTTGCCTAGTCTTAGCCCTGAAGCTGCTTTTGAGTCACACAGCTGTCAGCTCAACATGACTCTGCACTCCCAGAGCTCCCCATGGTTTCCACATGATGTTTGCTTGCTGACACACAGGGGTCCAGGAACCAAGATTTTTGGGCTGACAGGTTTTGTCAGTTGGCAATGAGTATGCACTCTGTTCCTCTTTCCTCCTATCATCATCATGCAAGTTAAGGATAGTGAGATCAGGGAGGTCTTGGGTGTCATTGTCTCCAGTAGAGGCTGCTCTGACAGACAGAGGACATTTTTGTTTTGTTTTGAGACAGGGTCTCTATGTAACTGGCTGCCCTGGAGCTTGCTATGTAAACCAGGCTGGCCTTGAGATCACAGACATCTACCTGCCTCTACCTCCCAAGTGCTGGGATTAAAGTCATGAGCCATCATTCCTGGCCCCAGAAGGCTCTTGAGATGGGTGCATTGGTCACAGGAGTGCTAAAGCTAAGATAGCATGAAGAGGGGTACCACAGTACAGGGGCAACCATCCAGGGCCCTGCACTACCTGAGGCTTGGTTACAGCCAGGGTACATGACTTGTCCCTCCCTGTCCACACAGTGGGCTCATAGAAAATGGTGCCATGCAGTCTCAGCACCACAGGCCTCAGTCCCCAGACCTATTAATTGCCACTGTGGCACTGATTCCCAACCTTTCTTCAGAGAAGCCACACAGAGAACAGGGCAGCATCCAACAGGAAGTATGACATGGGCCACCTTTCCACTGCTTTGGTCTTTCTCCCTCTAGGGAAGATGAAAACAAGCCTAAGGACAGACAGCTGAAGACTGGTAAGCACACAGCTCTCTGGGCTGCATAGGAAGTGGGACCTTAGGGAGGTGGGGTCTATGGCATGGTGAACCTGAAGGTTGATGCCTGGGGAAAAGGGGTGCCTGTGAAGGAAGGTGAGGCCTACCTATCTAGCCTTGTAAGCAAGACACACCACCCAGGACTCTTAAACTGGCCCACCATTAGCCAACAGGAATAAGCAGGTTGCACATGAAAGGGTTTTGCTGGAGGGGCTGCCTTTCTAAGCAGACTAAGCAAAAACTAAATCTTCCAACCCAGAGAGTTAAACCAGATGTTAGGGAAGGTGCCACTGCATGAACCACACTGGGAAGAAGCCCTAAGCTAAGGCTGGCCAAAAGCTTCCTGGAATGTGGACAGTGTAGCTCGATGTCTTTTGAGAGAAGTGGTGCCTCCTGAGTGTCCATGGGCTCTCCCAACCCAGGCTGCCCTCACATCTCCTTATTCCTGCAGTGACTGTGATCAGCCCTGAAGATGAACAGAAAGGGGAGAAGGTTTACCTGTACACGCATCTGAAGCAGCAGCCCATCTGGTAAGGCCCACTTACATCCTGCCCCAGCTGACCTGGCCTAGCTGCTGCCCAGCCCCTCAGCTGTCGATGTTTCCAGCAAAGGCAGTGGCCATCCTCACCTCTAGGGAAGTCACAGTGAGAGGATAGACACCAGCAAGTATTAATAGGGATGTGAAAGCATCTGACTCTCCATGGAGGTGGGAAAGTACAGCAGCATGGCCATTATGGGAATGCCTGGCAGCTCCTCAGAGAGTAACAGAGTGGCTATGTAACCAGCCATTTCATTGTGGGTTCATGCATGTAACTACACTGTTCAGAACAGTCCCAAATGGGCAAGGCTAGCTGGCTCTAGTGTAGGCATGATGTAGTCTTTCTACAGCATGAATTGTGGAGTAAGTTTGCATATAGATCACCATGCAGTGACCCAAAAGCCGTTGTACTAATAAGAGAAGGCAGACACAAAAGGCCATGAGTCATCTCATCCTGTTTGTGCATAATTCAGGGAACATAGAGCCACAGTAGATAAGTGGCAAGAATGATGAGTGGCTGTTGTCCTTTATGGGGCTGCAGAAGTGCTCTGGGGTTAGACAGTGGGGAGAGCTGCACAATTGAATACACTGGGAAATCCCTGGATTGCATGCCTATATTTATTTATTTATTTATTCAACTTTATAAATTATTATTATGAGAGTATTGCTTGCATGTGGGTCTGTGCACCATATGTGTGCCTGGTACCCTTTGAGGCTAGAAATGGGCATTGGATCCCCTAGAGCTGGAGTTATAGATGATTATGGGCTGCCACGTGTGTGCTAAGAGTCAGTGCCCTGGTCCTCTGGAAGAGCAGTAAGTGCTCCTAATCAGTGAGCCATCTCTCTACTCCCCATACACCTTATTTAATTTTGTGTGTCGTGGCTGTCCACACACTAGGCCAACATTGCCCTTGAGCTACATCTCATATTATTGGGTGAACTTCAAGAGATATAAATTATGTATTAATGTTATTGTGTATGTGCACATGCATGCAGTTGAAGTGAGAAACACGCCTGTGCTTTTAGCATGTCTCTGAAAGGCTCATCTGCTAGCTCTGGTCCCTGATGGTAGGGGCTTTTGGAGTGAGGTCTAGTGCAAGAGACTCAGCCTGGGCACCATCAGGAAGGAAATTCACATAGTTATCACACTTTCAAGTCAGTTCTTGAGAGTATGTTGTGAAGCAAGGCTGCCTTGTACACTTGGCCTTTCCTATGCCATACTAGGATGCAGCCAGAGAACCCTTGCCAGAACCAGTACAAGGCTGTTGGGACCCTCTAGCCATAATCTTGAGTCAAATAAATCTCTTTCCTGAATATATCACTATGCTAACATCACCAGGCATTAGCACAGAACAGACTAAGACAGCAGCAGTTAGGAGCTCTGGTAGCCTTTAGTGTGCTTGGAGCCTCATGGAACCTCCCATCTCACATTCACTCATCGGTAAGGATCAACACTAGCATGGAATAGATGCATCAACATGGCTCCTCCCTCAAAGGTCACAGCCAGCAAGAGCCATGTGAGAAGTGTGACTGAGAAATACAATGGGAACCCCCAGGGCAGAGGGCTGGGTAGATGCTAGCAGAGATCAGCACAAAGAGGCAGGACCTGAATCAACTGGAGACTCTATGCAGCAGAGGGGCAGAAGGTTCACTGGGGGTTCATATTACCTCAGTGGCTGTGTTGGACCCTCAGGTTCCTGGAGCTGGTTTAACAAAGGGCCAGAAGCCACTGGGACATGTGGTCTCTGTTCTCCCGCACAGTATGTGCTGTAGTCAAAGCTGCCACATGATAATGTGGCAAGGAAACTTCATGTGCAGATGCAGGCCACAGCCACAGACCACCACTTCCATGTTCCTGTGGCTGTGTTCCTGAGACTGCCATGGCGTATGTCTTCTGGGTTCCCATGTTGGTGAGGAGATCCTACTCAGCAGGACAGGGCTCTAGTTGTCTGCTTTCACATGGAAGCCCACTGCTGCCTGCTTGAGCAACTGAGCAGGCTGGCTTGCTCCACCCTCCGGCGGCCTCTTCAATTCTTCCATCCCCTGCCAGCACACTTAATTTACTTCTCAGGTTTCCCAGACACCCACAAAATGAGAAGCTGCTACTCTTGGTGTAGAGGGTAGAGAGGACCTACCTACCCTTGGGTAGACCTTTACCATGTCTCATCCTGCAGGCACACGTTGAGGTTCTGGAATGCAGCCTTTTTTGATGCTGTCCACTGTGAGAGGCGGAAGCGATCCCCCACCACCAGGTATGAGCCAAGAGTGTCCCCTCCAGCATTGGGAGAAAGGACCAAGTCTTGGCTCACTCTCCCAAGTCCTTGGGTGTCAGCAAAATGGCTGAGCTGCTGTTGGGTTCTTCCACCCATGTGTTCCAGAGCCCTGCAAGCTGCCTGAGGGGTTAGTGCTCACAGCTTGGGGTGGGGGTGCTCAGCTTGCATGGTGCTTCCTGTTCTGGGGCTCTGGCATGACATGGCCTGATCCCTTTGAAAATGCCTCCTCTGCCTAAGAGGAGACCCCTGGCCTCTACTCCACCCCTCTGTTCACTGTTAGAATCAAACCTGGCAGTGCAACTGCCCCCTGAGTCCATAGCTGAAGTCTGAGCAGACCTTCCCATCCATGCCCACATGAGTCCTGAACCTCAGATGCCCTATAGGACCCTGTTCAGAAAGCATGGAAAGCAGGGAAGGGCTTGTCCTCAATACCACAGAGGTTTTCTTTGGGAGCAGGCACAGGTTGCTACCCACTCCAGTCAGCTGCAAGGCAGCAGCTCCTGTGGAAGCCAGGCCAACCTACTAGCCTACCAAGTGTGGGGCTTTGTAGTCAGTATCTCAGGGCTTCAGTTGACTATCACTAGGGAGGCCCTGGGCCTTTCGCTATATTTGAAAGGGAACAGATGAGCAGAGCACTGTCTGGTCCAGGCTTCTCTGCTGGAAAGTGATTGTTTGAGGTAGAACCCTTCCTCAGAGGAGCAGCTGAGGACAGTGGGAATGAGGTGGCTTGCCTCAAGTCCCATGACCCTCTGTTGGGACTGTTTCCTGGGGAAACAGAGGGAGCATGGGGTGGACGAGGACCTAGACTTCCAGATGACCCTGGGGAGAATTCCACTGTGTCTGGAGACTGGGCGACCTCCAGGCACGCCGTTGGCTTCTTGCTGAGCTCTCCCAGCTTCTAGAGATCCATCTGTTCTGGGTTCCCTGTTTCTCTCTGTCCTTTCTGCTCCCACCTAGAATAATCCTCTCTGCTTGTTCTTTTCCATCCACATATCTTGCATGACTTTGACATGTGCCTTTGTTTACCTGTTTCTGCTGCCGCTCCAGAGGGGATGCTGGAGAGCAGGAGGAGAAGAGGTGTGTGTCCACGTGACTTCGTTCCATTTTACAACTCTGGGGTTCCATCCAAGGCCACTGCCAGGAGGGGAGGGTGACCCTGGGGGAGGCATGCCCTTGCTAGGTAGGCTGGTGTCAGGGTCTAGCCCAAGACAGATGGAGCTTGCCAGGGTCAGAGCACCCTAAGATAGTTAGAAAACAGGACACTGTGAGCCACCCCAAGAGGCACACATGGGCAAAAGGCTGCTAGCCCTCAGGGGCTCACTCTCCATGGGCCCCTGTGTACCTGGGCCAGACACAGAAATCCCACTGGTGTGGAAGTAGAGGGCGGGTATGGAACAGCTGTCCTATTTGCAGCTCCTCCCACTCCCACTGGAGGGGTTGTTATCTGGTGTAGGGTAACCATGGAAGGATAGCCACCCCCTCTCCTTCAGCCACTGGGTAACCAGAAGAGCTGGGGGTGGTCCCTTGAAGCAAAGATAGGCTGCCTTTGAGCCTGCAGGGGTCTACCTCATGTTCCCCAGAAGCCTCTGAGACATGTTTTTAGAGTAAAAGTTGTGCCTGCCCATAAAGAGTTGTGAACCCTGGTGGGTTTTCCTTGGAGTCTGGACACACATGTTTTATGGTGATGGTTCACCCGGCTCTGACGACGCTTGCTGCCGTGGCTTTACAGTAGCTGTGAAGAGCATTCAGGCCTGACATCCCCTCACGGTAGCAGGGCCCCCTCCCTACCCCTGTGTTCTCTCAGAGGACCATGTGACAAGACAGCTTCAGCTTGGGCTGAAAGGTGGGCACTGTCGTAGTCTCCCACACCCACCCTAGACAGCTGAGCTGGTCCATGCTGCTGGCCTGGTGAACTGTTCTGAATCCAGCTGAAGTTACTGCCAACTGCCTAAGCCTCACACACACACACACACACACACACACACAGAGAGAGAGAGAGAGAGAGAGAGAGAGAGAGAGAGAGAGAGAGAGAGAGAGAAGGGGGGAGACAGACAGACAGACAGACACACACACACACACAGGTGGACAGGGAGAGAAAGCACTTAGATTTGTGATCAATGTTCCATGTGTAGGACTTTGCAGAGGCCTGAACTCAGCTCTCAGGAAACATTAGATAGAAGGCACCAGCCAGGCTAAGTTGTTCATGACTTTCCACTCTGTTTTCAGAAGTCAGGTGACACCTCAGTTTTACTTCTGTGCACAGCAAGAAGAATCACTTTCTCATGGGGTCAGGTGTGAAGGATTGGAACTACTATGCCACACAACTCAGACAGTGGTTTACTGTGCACATCTGTACCTGGCAGGCTGCTGGTGCTATGAGGCTGCCCCTCTGGTGCATTCTGGGATCTTGATAGGTGTGCTGTCTGAGTATGCAGAGGTTGCAGGTGAACTCCACCCTGCTTTGGCAGTCAGTGGCCTGGGCAAGGAAGAGGCAGGCCTGGGCTTTGTCCCTTTGTTTTGTTCTCTCCCTTCCTTCTTTCTGCTTCTCCACGACTGACCTCTCCTTCCTTCATGCTGCTACTTCTCTCCTTGTGCTCCAACCTTTCTCTCCACTTTACTTTAGTGAGAGTCATCTGTCCTGAGCTTTCTCTTTGGAGGAAGTGGGCCTAGATGAGCTCCCCTCCTATCCAAAGCTGTGCATCTGTCCTCTGAGTACCAGGGTCTGACTTCACATGGGCAGTGAGCACAGACCCGGGGCTTCTGTGTCCTCTTAAGAGAGGCTGCTCCAGGAGCCTCACAGGAAAGGGGAAAAGCCAGGGTGATGAGTGACATGTGATGATCTTGCTGTGGTAGTAGTAGAGGTGTTAGCATAGGCACCTCCATCCTATTCCTGGGCCTTTCCTCTATACAGGGCAGGTGGATGCCTAAAAGAACACCCCAGCCTTACCCAGGTACCCACCCCATGCCACCTGCCCAGTGCAGAGAACAGTCCTTCTTAGAGATTGTTCACTACCCCACTGGCTTTAGAGTTTGGGCTAGCTTCATGATGGCCACATGGTCACCGACCAGTGCCAGGAGGCCTATAGGCAAAGTATGGAGTGAATGTCCTCTCCATGGTGGGAAATAGCCATGGTGGAGAATCCCTGAGATGGGCAGAGTCTATGCAGAAAGAACAGTGTGGTTGTCATACATTCCCAGGCTTCCCATTCCTGGGTCTCCTGTAGATGCTGCCTTGTGCATCTGGTCCCAGGACACCGGCAAGGCCCTAACCCCTAAACTGTTAGCTGGGCTAAGTCCTCAGGAAGGGTGTGAGTGACCAAGGCCCTCCCTGGTCCCCAGGACAATAGAGTGTGATTCTTCATCTTAGACAGGGAGTAAATGTTGGTGTTTGAGAGCAGGCTCTGGTGGAAGCTACCCACAAGGCAGGTCCCCATGTGTTCACAGAGCACGGGAGGGAGGGTCCCAAGCCATTCTGAAGCCCATCCTGTCCTTCTGTGCCCACAGGGAGAAATGGTGCCACATGACCCAAGAAGAGCGGGATGACAGCCTGCGGTTCAATGAGAACATCACCTTTGGGCAGCTGGGGTGAGAGCAGAGCTGTGAAGCTAGCCTGGGCCACCTACTAGGACAGGGTGGTGTAGTGGGCCTGATTTCTCAGGGCTAGGTGGTGAGTCCTCCTCTTGATCCTGGGACGCAAACTCCAGTTAAGAGGTATGGGTGAAAATTTCACCTGATACTGCCCCAGGTCCCAGGCATCCCCTAGTCTTAGAGCCCAATGTTTTGACTCCCTTTTCTGGGCTGGCAGGAGGGTAATGGCCACGGGTGTTTTTCCTCCAGCACGTTCACCCACAACATGCTGGCTTTTGGCCTGAACAAGAAGCTATGCAGTGACTTCCTGAAGAAGCAGGCTGTGATTGGCAACCTGGATGAGGGTGAGCCGGGCTAGGGGTACTGTGGGGAGGTGGGAGCCAGAGCAAGCCCTCCACACTGGGGCTTCCCGCCCTGCCAGAAGGAGGGCACCTGTCATGGAAACCTGTTTCCCTGGCTTACCCTCTTTCCCGAATCCATGGAATGTATACTTTGTGTAGCTGGAAGTTATTTCTGCTAAGGGATGGCAGGTGACATGTGGCACAGCCAGGTCAGAAATGAACATGGCTCTGGCATCCTATCTCTGCACTTGTGCAGAACAAATCCCTGGCCTAAGATGGTACCTTCTATAATACCATCTGGTTTTGAACCACACTGTCAGGGCAGGGTGGTGGGTAGTGTGGGGGTTCTGAGGCTTCCCAGAGTCTATTCCTCTGCCTCAGCAGAAAGCGTTGTGGCTCAGTGTTGTCACCTCAGCATTGCAGCCAGGTTTGTGTGTCACCATTTACTATTGTTCTCTTGGGACAAGGCCTTATACTTAGACCTATGTTCTGATGAACCAATAACTTGCCCCAGCCTCATTCCTAACCAGGAAGAGCAGCTGTGCGGACACAAGGGCATTTGTAGCCATCGGGCAGCCTCAGTGTTACCTCCCCCTCCATGTAGCCATCAGAGCTCAGCATGCCTTCTGTTGGCCACACTCCATACGTGACACCATTCCTGTAAAAATCCGTGTTTTGAGAATGAGGGCCCACTTCCAAGTGTGCTCCTGAAGATGGCACAATGTGCTGGGGATAAGGCTTAGCTCTGAGATGTAGCAAGGAGTGATGGACTACCTATGGCCCTGTGGCTGACTGTGGCTCAAGCCAGCAGCCTCATCCCTGGCCTTAGTGTACAGATTGGGCCAAGTCATTCCTGGCCACCAACCATGTGTTCTGGAGTAATCCTGTTCTCTCTTCCAGAGCAATACAAGCTGCTAAGTGACCACATTGAGCAAATGGCCACAGAATAGGAGGCCAGCCCATGCCGTTCTCCCAGGAGCTGTCACCCCAGTGATGACCCTGCATGACACCAGCAGCACCCAGAGCCGCTCCTGGCTGCCCTAGAACTAGCAGTTATAAGACTCCAGAAGCCTGTCTCCCCTGCCTGTGTCTGCTCCCAATTCTATGTACAAGGTGTCTCTTGGGTTACACAACTAAAAATGAGGGACCATCTACCCCCACCCATCCTTGAGCACCAGGCTTATGAGATGAGACAGAGAATGGAGGAGGCCATAAGCTAGGGTCCCCAAAGTTCCTCCTGAGAGCCAGGGACATGGGCATGGAGTGCAGGAGGGATCTACATGCTGTAAGGTGAGGACAGAATCACTTTTCTGAGGGTCACAGCCTGCCACACCCTGCCGCAGGACTTTCTGTGAGCATAAGCTGTGTGGAGGGACCACGGAGCCTTCCTGAATGGTCTTGGCTATCTGCTCTTCTCCACCTCCTCATGTGACAGGAACTAGAAATCACAGAAACTGGAAGAGAATTCAAGCATTGTCACTTTCCTAGGGGTGTGAGCTTTCTGCCAGCCACAACCTTGTCTCAGACTCAAGAGGCCTGTCAACAGAATCTGTGAACTGTCCACTCAACACAGCCTCTCCTTCAATAGCAGAGAAAATCCTTCAGTTCCCAGGCAGCAGCAATGTATGTCCTGGAATGCAAGAAGCATGGGGGAAAAAGGTTTCTTCAGCAGCTCTGGGGTGACACCCTTGCTAAGAGCAACTGGTTAGAGCTGGAGCACACAGAATGGATCTGACTGACTGAGGAGGCCACAGGGAAGCAAGACTGCCTGGTCGCTCCAGTTCATGGCCCTCTCCTTCTGAAATACCCAAAGGGACTTGCTTCTTCTTCACCCATGTGCCAGACCAAGTCTGATGCACAGCATCCAGTGTGCTGGCCCCGGGGCTGCTGTCCCCACCCACTCCACTAGTGGCCTAGGTTCCTTCTGTGCCAGCCACTGCCATTCTGGTCACTGACCTTGAACTAGGCCTGCAGGCTCTCCTGTCACCCTTCATTGTTCTCTGTTCCTCAGCCTTCAGTCACATTTAGTCAAGGTCTGTCTGTGAGCACAGCGGTCCTCTCCTGACAGCTGTGTACTCAGCTGCCATGGGCAAGCCTTCCCTGTGTGGAGTGTCTCCCTAGGGTGTCCAAAGAAGAGCAGGATGGGTAGAGCTTTGGAGCAAGCATTTCTTGGATGTTGGGGATGACCAATGTAGTTCATCCATCACTGAGCAATTCAAACAAATTCTGACAGCCAGGTCAGTCCCTGATGGTATAGTATATGTTACTGAGCTGGCTAGGATACCCAGCCCAAACTGCCTGTCTCTGCTCCTGTGCTTTAGGCAAGTGACATCAAGTGAGATCACCCCTGCTATCCTTCCTGGAGCTTTTCTCAGCTGTGCAAGCATGGTAACCTCTCCTTGCTCCTCCCAGTCCTACGTTAGCGTGAGTTCAGGAGTAGGGAGACTTGATGCCAGCAGCTGTGTTGTCTGGCTTTTGCTTTGCTCCATGCAGTCATGAACAGCCCTAAAGGGAAGACCAGTGGTTCCAGTACATGAACTTTAGAAATGACTTGAAGACTGTTCCATACCAGCCTTTGGAGATAATCATTTAAGGAGGAAGGAAGGATGGCCCTGTTTTGCCTGTCTCTCACTCTTTATTTTTGCAGATCCAGCCCCACAGAGTTGGGGAATTCTGACCCATGTTAGATCCACATGGCACTGCAAAGGACCTGGTAACTCTGAGGACAGGGCAGCCTTTGATGGGAGCAAAGCTGCAGGTGACTGGTGGTGGTCTCACCATCACCCGCAGGTATCCTGTATTAACAACTAGCTTTGTTCACCTGGGAGCCTCTTACCAGTGTCTCTGGGAGGTCATTAGTCTGCCCCTCCCCCCCCAAGGTGTCCTGTCTTCCTGTAGTAGCTTTCCCTTAGGGCCCACCAAGCAAGTGTGAACTGGGCTCCCTGGCAAGCACTCCTTGGCCACCTTGCTGAGCTCAGGAACCACAAGCAGGTCAAATTACCTGGGTAATCCCAAACAGTATCTCCAGTCTTGACTGGTAGTGGTCCAGATCTGTGTAGGCCCATTAGAAACACACTCAAGTTTTTCTGGCATGTGACCTTCAGGACTGTGTGAGTCATTGTCACTCACAATAATGTTTGCCCCCTGTTCTGAAAATAGGCCAGTGGTGAGCTGCCACTCTGCTGTGGCCAGCTTTGTTAGGGTGTTGTGGGTGTCAGAGGCAGACTGTGGCATCCTCCAGGCTGCCTCTGCTGAGTGTCTAACCACAGGCAGGACCACACTCTGGTAGATTGAGAGATCTGTATTGTGCAACCTGGCAGACTGTGATTTCCCCCTTGTCCAAGAAACAAGGGGCTGAAGAGCTCAGCATCTCCAAGAGGACCATGGACAAAGCTAGTCTTCAAGCTTCATCTACACAGGAAGGAGGTCTTCCTGGCTGGGCCTAGTGTATACCTGTAATACCTCTAGCAGAAGGTGACTGCAGGAGGATCAGGAGTTCAAGGTCATCCCCAGCTACATCAGGGGTTCAAAACAAGCCTGGGGCCCATGAGACCTGATCTCAAGAAAAAAAGAAAAACAAAACAAAACAAAAAACAAACAACCAATAACATATCCTGAGAATACATGGTGGCCTTAGAGCCAGTGCCCCAGCTTAAGATTTGGCCTGATGCAGATGGGGACTCATGACCTGCCTTGTCCCCCCACCCCTTACCTGAGAGGAAGCAGTTGGTGCTCTGTCCCTGATACTGTAGCCCAGGGGCACTGTCAGGGACACGGGAGGCTCCAGAGGAAGCACACTGCTCTAGAAACACCTGCCATTCCAGGTTGCTGGTGTGAAGGGCCCAAGCTTCTCTGCTGGGAACTATATGAAAAGCTGAGGTCTAATTGTGGTGACATTAGTAGTCCCAGGCCATAGATTCACACCCAACCTTGGCCTTCCTGGGTCATAATGACTATTTGTTTTTTTGTTCTGGGCCAGCCCTGCTGGAGCAGCTTGATTTCAGTTTTCAGACTGCAGTCTGACGGCCAGGAGACTTCCAAACCAGAGGATCCTTGTGTAGAACACAGTAGGAAGGGACCCTAGGAGCCTCAGGGAAATGATAGGAGAACCCTCCTAGGCAGAGCCTCCTTGGTTCCAGGCTTCTGCCCACATTTCCTTCACCTTCCAAGCCAGCCAGCTCTGAAGATCCCTTGCTAAGGGTTGAGCTGCCTCTCCCATCTGTCCTTTAGATCCATCCTCACAGCCATGGCCTCGGGTTTGTTTAGCTTGAGAAGCTGCCAGTAGATGCCCACGGAATGGGCCTCATTGACTGGACAGGCCTCTTAACAGGCTGGGCTCCTGCACTCTACTTCATCAGGCCAGGAACAGGAGAAGTACTTATTAGGTCAGGAAGTGAATAGACCAGTCTTTTCCAGACTGCTCACATGTGGTTAACACAACCCCACTAAAGCCATCTTCCATGACAGGCTCCTGCAGAGCCTTCATTCTGTCCCACAATCCCCCTGGAGTCTCTGGACCAGCATGCCACCTGAACCTGGGGGGGGGATGGAATCCAGGGTGTGGTGGTGGCCAGTTTACCTTGCTGCAGGGTGACAGGGCAGCTTATGCCAATGTCTCTCTGGTCTGAGCTTTGAAGAGCAGATGAGCACAGAGCTAGGAGCACACCACAAATCGGGTTATCTTCATGGGACTCCTCAGGAAGTTGGTGCCTTGGGGGACCAGCTTCACTGTAGACTCCAGACTCTGACAGAAATGGCATAGGCCCAGCTGCAAGCCATGCTCCCCTAAGCTACAACTTCAGAGACTTTGCACTTTATCTAGAAAGGTCCCCTGTCCATGGATTGTCTTGGCTCTGATGCTGAGCCAAAGTTGGCCCTCTCCTATCCTTACTCCTAGATGATGAATGTGTTCATGGAAAGGAGGAAAGAGACCCTGCCTGGGGTCACCACCACCCTTGTAGGAGGCACCAGCTTAGAGTCTGTGGGGGAGAATAACCCTGGTCATTGGCCTGAGATCACTTCATCCAGAATGGGGATACCTTGGGAGGTATGAGTTGAACCTTTGGCTGTCTCAGACAGCAGGCATGTGTCCCCATGGAGAATGTATAAGGACCTGGATTATCTGCCTAAGCCAGTTTCCAGTGCAGTCTCTGTGGGGGACTCCACCCATATGGTCTGTTCTCTCTCGGGGTTCCACAACCATTTGTTACCAGAAGCCCCCAGTAATGCTATGTTTTACATGTTAGTTACACAACTTTTTGCCCTGCCAGGTCATGTTCTAAAATTAAGGTTGAGAAAGTTATGAGGTTGAAGATCTCAGGCAGTGCTGTTTCCTGTGAAGAAAAAAATGTGTATCTATCCATATATATAGTACCTTGGCTTGTCAGGAGGTGGAAACTGAAATAAATTATCTTTTAAATAGAAGTCAAATTAACTTGTTTTCACATATCTGTGAGTACTTCACAGAATCCATTGTCACGTCACTGGCCTTGCAGAAATAGATACCCTCACCCCCTCTTGGACTTGGCTGACTAGACTCAGAGGCTGGGTTAGAGTTTGCCTGAAGACAGAGCTTGGGCCACTTTGACATGTGGGCTTCCCTGGACCTGATCACCACCTGTCATGTGGGTCTAATCAGGATCTATCACCTGTTACTCCCAGGTAGGTGAGGGGGTAGGAGTGCTTTGGCTCAGAGAGGAGGCAGAGTCAGGGGGCATCCTGATGCCTAGGTGGTGATCAAGCCTAATGGCTCACCCAAGTTGTCTGTAGAACCAAGTTTCTAAGGACAGAGACATCCTCTCTCACATGAATACATAGATCCAAATCTAGGACCTTGTCGTGCTCATGATGGCCTCTTCCCAGGGAACAAATCCCCTGAAAAGTATGCCAAGGGATCACTGCACACATCCTCCTGGATGCCCCCACCTATCCTCTACCTACCCCCACTGTGGATTTTTGTGTGTTTATGGCCCCATGGCCACTGTATATATGATGTCATGTCTGTGTAATGGCTGAGATCTGTGCCCATCAGCCAAGTTCATATACTGAAGAGTTAAATCCTGGGGTGCAGAGCCTGCAAATGGTCCTTGTGGTGAGGGGTTGGGGGGCAGGCACAGTAGGGGCCCTGAGCTAACAGAAGGGGCATTTGGGCACAGCCCTTGGTGCACTCAGGGAAAACACCATGTAGAATCAAAAGCAGGCATTGGGCATCATGGTCACAGGAATAGGCTGCACTAGCCAGAAGCAGAAGCTGGCCAGAGGCCTGGGAAGCCTCTTTCTCCCAGCCAGAGGAGGAGCTGGGAGATGTAGATTGCAGCATCCAGGCAGGGAGGTCATGATGCTGCTGCTTTAGCCTCCCAGTTGGTGGTACTTGACTGGGAAGACCCCAAAATCTAACCCAGTATGCTTTAGCATCAACACAAGTGTGGAGACTCCTGCCCCAGATGAAGGCAGGAAACAGACTAAGCAAGGATGCAGTTGAGAGTCACATATCTTTCACTGACACTGGGAATATGCGTCTGCAGAGCAGCCTACTGTGCTGACGAGGAAATGAGGCCCCAGGGATACCTGACCCCAGGACACAAGCAGAGCCCACCAGGGTCCAGACCAGCCTAGGCCTTCCACCTGCCCCTGGGATCCTCCTCCTAGTCCTGGCGTCCCTGCTGCTGTCCCTTGAGGTCCTCCAGGGGGATCTCCTCCACAGAGTCAGGCTCACTCTCCTCTTCATCTTTCTCCTGCTGTGCCATCGTGCTCTGAACACTCTGAATATCAGAAAGAAAAGTCACAGCCAAACCAGGAGTGGTGGTGACAAGCCCTGAGTTGGAGAGGTGGCTCTCCCACATTGCCATGAGGAGTGACTATGGCTATGAGCTGCTTAGCAGGTGAGACCAAGAGAGGGCATGACCACCAGCCAGGGAGAGTGAGTCTGGAGAAAACCCAGTTCCTTCACTGTGCTTAGAAAAGACCTTCATGAAGCTCAGTGTCAGCCCCTCACACTGGCCGCCTCCCCTCCCAGGGACTAGCTCTCCTCACTGTGACTCTGGGGCCATGTCTGCCCTGGCCACACCCCACTTGCAGACACTGCCAATTTCCCTGAGGTTGTTGGCCTAAGGCTGATGACAGTGTGCTGTTCCTGAGCTTTCAGGTGACATTTGGCCAGTGTGCTCTGAATTTGCCTGTGACCCAGGTGGGATCAGGTGAGACCTGTCATGCCAGGCCCCTCCCTTCAGTGCACTCCCTCAGCGTGCCTCTGGAGTGGTGGGCACATACAGGTGGATGTGGGCAGCCCCTTCCCAGCAGTCACCACTGTTCCAGTAGTCAGCCATCCATCCACTTCCTTGGTTTCTTCATTTTGTCCCTGGATTAGCTCCCATGATGTGTAAGTGCTCACCTGGCTGGCCAGAGGCCAAGGGACAGATGGAGAGGGGCTGGTGTCGGTGAGTGGCCGAACTTCACTGTGCCCATAAACTCCACGCATCTTGGCTCTGAAGTCCTGCCAAGGAGAGATCAGAGTGGCTGGGTCCAGCTTGAAAGCACAGGAGTGGAGTAGGAAGCAAAGACAGGAAGCTATGAGGCATCTCTGGGCACTTCCTGTTTGCTATGTTATGGACCCACAGCAGCATCCTGAGGGGGTGTTCTAATCCCATTAAACAGATGGGAAAACTGAAGCCCAAAGGCACTATGTAACACAGTTATCAGGAAAGTCACTGGTTAGAAATCACCCTCAACTCCTGAAAGAACCATGTAGAGCTGGGTCATGGGCTACATGCCTATAACCCTGGCACTGAGGAGGCTGAGGCAGGAGGATCATGATTGAGGCTATCATGGGCCATGGAGATGAATGAGGCTTTGGAGAACCTGTTTTTTTTTTTTTTTCTTGTAGCCTTCTGTGTGGTTTTAAAGCATATGTAAAAATCCTTTGATGGATCATCCATCTCCCATTCTGTCCTTGAGTGCCAGCCTTAGTGGGTCACCTGTAGCACCCTGGCAGGAGCACACAAAATGACTTCCTCTTGACCCCAAGGCCTTAGTGCTCCCCATGTCTCAGGCTGCTGGCTGGTGGGAACCATTCACCAAGGGAACCTGGAGTAGGTGCCAGGCTGTGGGCTTTTGTGGACTCCTGACTCAGTTACCAAGCTCCACATCCATAGAACGCCACACTGCCTCCCAAGGCACCTTTACCCTTTCCCTGTATCCAGAGGACAGCTACCTCCCACCACCATCTGCACATACAGAAAGAGGACTTTGAAACAGCCCGGCTCCAGACTGTGACCCAAAGCCACGAGATAAAGGGACAGATGATTGGCTCACAGCATCAGTTTTGGGGCCAAGCTCTGCAGATAAAGCTTGCTGTGAATCTAATCAGCATGGCTGGGGACAGTCACAGAAAGCTTTTGTCCCTGCTGTTTTTCTTCGGTACTAAACAGTCCTGTGATGCTGAGCAGATGACATCCCAGGTGACCAGGAGAAGATTCTACTATGGGGCGGCACCTGGGCCAGGTGTTTGAAGTCGCTCATCAAAGCAAGCCCTCAAGCTAGACAGAAATGCACAAAAGCACAGACAAGCCCACTACCCACCTGCAGGTCTCTCTCTAGGTCGTAGCTCTCCAGGGTCCTGAAAGCACTGGAATACACCTCTACTGCCTTTGCGTGGAAGACCATCTCAATGGACACAAAGTCAGAGAAGATTCTCTATCAGAGAGAAGCCTAGTCAGGGTCATGGCACCACACAGGGTCACACCACAGACACTGAGCCACATCTACAATCCTTTTTAAACTGGGGGTGAGGGACAGCCTTCTACCTTGAGGCAAAAAGACCCCGCTGGTGCCAAGTCCCTTTCACGCCACACTAACAGTGCCCACTGCCTTCTGAAAGGCCTCCTAATCCAGACAGCCTGTACCAGTTCCCAGCTTCATTCACTTATATACTTACTTGTCTGTTCCACAACTATTCCCCATGTACCCACCATATCTCAGGCCCCGGATCTAGAGGCCAGGTGGTCTGGAGGTCTAGCTGACCTTCTGGACCTCAGAAATGAGAGCTGTAAACCCAGTACAGAGGGCTGACACAGGACACAGCCTGTTATAAGTCCCTGAGATAGGAAGGAGCTTGGGCCTTGAGCCTAGGGAGGGGTGGTTGCACAGGAGGTTAGAAGGCCCAGGCTGCCTCCTTGGGGTGGGGGTGGATTGTTCTTTGACCTTAGGACAAGGTAAGCCACCAAAGGGTGTGAATCCCAAGACTGACAGATCAGAGCTGTCTGTCAAGAGATTCCTGGGGTTGAAGAGTGGGAAAAGAGGACCAGAGGGTGGGGCAGACAGAAATACCCATGGTCAGTTAGTCCTGAAAGGGCAAGTTCCTTGAGACTTCTTGAAGGACCTGGAACTGGACCTAGTATCCCATAATGCTGAGAGGAGCAGTTCTGGTGGAGATGAAGGAGACTCTGCCGGCCTCACAGCACCTCAACATGGCTGATTCCAAAAAGGACTTTTAGAGTTTCAAAGGGGAGCTAGGATATGGGTGAGAAAGAAGAGCAGGTGCAGGAGGGGACAGAACTGTGCCTCAGCATCCTCCTGGTTGGGAGCTGTGTCCAGAGCACTGAACAGCTGGGTGAGGCCAGCCTACCCCAAGCAGAGAACCTGACATATGCAGCCAGGATCAAGTCTCCCCAGAGCCCCGGCCTCCGAGGGTCACATGATCACACACTGCATGTGTACCTACTCTCAAACACAGGAATTCACACCCACCCGTATGAATGCATACACCCACACAAGGCTGCCGCTGCCTACCCGGAGGTCCTTCAGCTTCTGTTCCTGGAAGGCATCCACTGTCTCGGCCAGGTGGTGGGTAGAGCGGTTGGTGTCCACAGAGGCCCTCTGTGCACTGGTCTCCGCCTGGCCTCAGGGACACATGAGGTAGACAATGTCAGGTGGTGGTCCTAGCCCCTCGATACTACTCTGGGTTGTTCTCAGCCCCACCATCTCCTTTGGGGGATTCCTCCTGCCTCATGTGGTCACTGAAGAAGTGGTCAGGCAGAATTGTGGTAAGAGGATGTTAACTGGGGTTGGACAGACCTGCTTCTTAGCTGTGTGATAAGTCACTTAACTTCTCTGAGTTTCAATTTTCTTGCCAGTTGGGAGACCGTAATGAGACCTGCTCACAAAGCTGGGAGTATTGGGTGCTGAGAGCTGGGGATCTGCTCCACAGTAGAGCCCATATTCAGCATGTGTGAGGCCCTGAGCTCCCCAGACCCATCCCCAACACGGCCAGCAATAACCATCATTCTGAGACAGGCACTTCCTAGGCTGAGCTTTTCTCCATGTTCTTGGTAACTGATTCTGCCCATGGACAATTGCGGATGAATGGCCTGCTCCCTCCTCACATGGCAAAGCTGGCTCTGTGCCAAGACCGATCCCTGAGCAGCCTT